TTCCAAGGAAACACTTCCTTTTCACATCGACGTTCGTCGCGACAATAAAAAGTCATAAATGATCAGACTGCAAAGCATCTTGTTGCGTAATTGGGACTAAAAGGCGTTTTTTATGACTCATGAATACGACTTCTGGACACATCAAATTACTGGTTGTATATCAGGGTGTTTATAGATTATATAACTTGCAAAATTAATCACTGTGAACATATGCAAACAGAAGTTAGCATATGTTATTTGTAAGATTATACAGTCATATATTTTTTACACAGTCTTTTTTTTTTTAACTAAATTGATAAATTTGTTGACTGAGTGCAGGCGAAGTCCAATCACAAAGCTTAATTTGTGATAAATTGTCTCCCTGAATGAAGAATCAGCCTCTTGCACCGTGATGTCTTCCCGCCAGAAAGTGGTCAGATCACTGGCTGGCTCACTTTTCCCACTCCTGCTTCTCTTTGTCTGGCTGTAATTACAGATTTCAGCAGCCGCGGGTTCCCCTGGTGCTCCGCGTCTCATCAGAGTCCTCGCTCACATTTCCTCGTCAAATTAGACTGGTGTGTGATTAGATCTGGCGGAGTGGCGCTCGGCGCACTGGCTGTCAAAATCACTCGGTATGAAGTCTGGCCTTCTCGACGTGCCCAGCTGTGTTGTTGCAACACAAGAAACGCGTTTCGCCTGGTTTTAATGAGGGTTCGGCGGAGGTGGGGGGGAAACAGAACTGAATAGTGAACGCCGGGATTTGTGCACAGCTCACGTTGGAACCATCCGGGGTCTCAGACAGAAGCTCGCGGTTTAAAATCTAAAGCAGAAAGACAAGCAGCTGCTCTCCAGTTGAATTTGGCCCAAACACCCACCCAACGAAAACCGACTGACCAAACAACCGAAATGTATGAAACTAAAAACATGTCTCTGAATGTATCAAAATGTTTCGTTTCAATGCTAAGAGTCTGCCCTCAGCTTTTGTTTCTTCACACACAGAGGGACATATCATTGCTTCCATCTAAAGCCACACAGTAGGGCTATGTTTTAGAAACCCATTTAAATCCCAATCCATTGATTTGCTCTCGTTGACTGTGCTCACTGCGCACCATTAATAGTCGGCAGCAGGAAGCTGGCCCCACTCTCAACACAGCTCAGCAGTGGCTGATTTAAACGGATGAGTCACTGTCATATTGGCGGTTTGGGGTTTGTTTTCTTGACCTACGGCTGCATTACTCAACGATAAGCACTGGAGGTGTCTTAACAGAAAAATCCATAGACCGATGACTCGCTTTTGTTGGGCTGGATATGTAAATTTGTCTGTTTGTCTCTTGTATGGAGGCAGTTTTAACCAAAATGAAGCGTCAGCCCCAAATTGTTTGACCTCATTCTTAATTTGGCTGACCGGTTTTTAATGACAAACATTGCTTCCGAGTCATCTTGTAAGTTACAGCAGCCGGATTTCCACTGGCCATATAATTGTGCAATTTGACATGTAAAAAATACATTTGCCTGACAGAAGCATACTAATTTTAAAAAAAAACCTTTTTTTTTCAGCAAAAGGTTTTTCTGCTAGGATGAGGTGGGTTACTTGTACATATAAAAATTGCTTCATTTCGCAAAATTCCAATAGAAAACACTTTCTTTGCATCACGCAATCAACATCTGGACGATGCCACTGGTGCAAACCACGAAGAAGACGAAGAAGGGAAGTGGTAGGAGGATGGCGGCGCGCCATGTTTTTAATGACTTCTGTGACCAAACCTATTCACGTGTGATTTATCGGTTGTTATTCAATGGAAACGACACAATTTTTGAGGAACATTGACAAAGGTTTGCGCACACTTGTCATGGAAAACACAACTCCAGAACAAGCCATTTGAAGTATTGGATGTCTTAGAGGGAAGTCATTACTATGATTACAGGCTAAAGCATGAGGATGTCAGCAGCTTGGTCTGAAAGGCATCACGACACCGAGTCTTCGTCTTTGTTTCATAACCATGCCGACATGGCCAGCAGGAGCTGAGCTCTTCCACCCCCCTCCGACCGTCCTGCCAGTTTCCCTCACTGAGCGGCTTTAGCGCTTCATTTCCCAGACCCCTTTTTCAATATGTCAGCATCATTTCCCTGGGAGTTGGATGAAGCAAATGACGCCACGGCACAATGGGCCATGTAGAGGAATTGGTCGGTCGGATTAGAAACAATCGGCAGAAACGTTTCCATCTTCCAGTTTTGCTCCGTTTTAGAAGATGGATGGCTAAGCCTCGAAGATAAAATGCACCAAACGATTTCTACTTCTGTGGAGGATAAATATGACGGGACATACGTGCCTCTTTTGTTTAGCCGTTCCTCAAAATGGGACAAAGGAAGAAATCTGACAGAGCCACTGGAGAGAAGGAAGTTTAGATCTTTGCGCTCCATCCAATGTCAATGAAATCCCATCAACATCTTTTCTTTGAGAATAGCCCGGTGGACGACTGGCAACGATTAACTTGTTAATATTGTTTGGCTCTAAAACACAAACCTCTGAGCGTGTTTATGTCTGCTAATACAGTCATATTCAATAAATTGGAACGTCGGTTCTGATGAGGCCTGTGGATCAGACTGAAATGACTTTTTGAAAATAACCCTTGAGCAGAACATTTTATTGAGCTCACATTCGATGTAATCGATGGGTTTTATTCTAATCTTTAATGTTGGGTTTTCGCTAGCTGTAAGCAGAAAATCATCGTGATTAACAGAAATAAAGGCGCAGAAACATCAGTCTGAGTAAAGAATTGATATTATGTGTTTCCCTTAGAAATGTGTGCTATCTCTGATTCATTCTCTTTTGTACAATAGGAATGTAAGAAAACTGAGTAACTTTCAAATATATAAGCTATCCCCTTTAATCTTTCAGCATAACTAGCGCTTTTCCCCAGAAGCACACAACACACTCCCATAACGCAACCAATTGTTACAGACCCCGACTTAGCTACAGTAACATCTGCTGTTCCTCAGCTTGGGACTCTTGCCAGTTCAGATATAATTTACCTTTTACAGTCGAGATCCAGTTTAATGCAACATGTTTAAGCCCAAGGGGACAAGAGAAATTAGAAACTAGGGCCGACTCTAAGTTTTATCTCAGTCAGTATTCATGAAGGTAACAAATAAGGTATCTATTCAGTCGATCAGGGATAAATTCATTTGTTTGGCCCCATTATTCTTGCGCCATGTCATTACAAAACGCCACTGCTGTCAGACATGTGGCGTCAAGGTCGTCATCCCATGGCTGTGCAAACGGGTTGTGAATGATGAGTGAACAAAATGGGGCCAAAATAACATAAATCCAGTGCAAACAATGCAATTGGTAAATTCTTTGAACACTTGGAAGTCTCATCAGCTGCTGCTAGAAACTCTCTGCAAAAAGTATAAATCTAACACTAAAGCTGTCGGGCCCACACCGCCTTCGTTTTACAGGAATTAGCCGTTTGTGTCTTCGAATGTCGCTGTATTCCGGTGCACACACAACAATGCAATTTTAAGACAGACTGTTGTGCATGAAGTACACGAGTGTGAATCATGCTTACATAATACTGGTAAGATATGCAGAATCAATGCTGTGGTATATGAAATGCTAATCGATTATGTAAAAAAAAAGCAAATGCAAGACTAAATGTTCCCAAAATAGAGATTTCACAGAAATCGACAAGGGAAAAATTGAAGCAGTTGCCAAGATTTGCTTTAACTTTTAGTTTATGTAAAACACTGGCAAGTGGCAGCGAAAAGAGCAACTAAATCATGCAGGAAAGCCCAACTTTGAAAGTGTCTGCATCTGGAGTCCACTGCTCAACAGCTAAGCTGACGTTAGCATGTTTACTCCCTGCTGAGTGGAGGCCTTTATTTATTAAAGGCAGCAACTAGGGTGGCCCAAAACAGCCAACAAGATGCAAAAGCCAAAATACAACAACAACAAAAAAGCCAAACGGTGGTAAAGCTAAAATGTAAGTAATGCTAAAAGCACGTACATATATATATATATATATATATATATATATATATATATATATATATATATATATATATATAATATATATATATATATATATATATATATATATATCTTTTTAAAAAAAGAGAACCAAATAAGTGAATTTCAGTCCACCGTTCAAACCAAGTCTACTGGACTGAAAACACCCTGATTTATCCACAATTTTTCCAAAAAATTTCTTGAGTTGAAATAGTTTTATCGAGAGAGACTTGACTAAAAGACCCGCTGGAGTACAGCACAGCACAAAATAAATGCTTTAAAAAAAATACACAGACCTGTAATTAAATCATTATAAAATTTACTCAATTCCAAGCATTCACAACAATGCTCCTCTGTCTGAGAGCCTGTGCTTTAGAAGCACTGCAGAGTATCAGCTTTTTCCTCTCTGCTGCCTTCGGTTCCAGCTGCAGTAACCCGAGCAGGGAGCAGCTGCGCTGGTGCCCTGAGAGATTCTTCATTTTCCAGTCTTGTCTGCTTAGTTCAGCAATCTTACATCTGGTGTACGGCGTTGGTGCCTTTATCAGTGAGGAGAGAGCCGCTGCGAGAGCAAATGTCCCCCTTAAATAATATCTGTGAACTGGTTGCCTCGTCCTACACAGTCCTCACACATGCTTGCACTTTTATCTCTGCGTCCAGCAGTGTTGACGTCACGCTGTGCTGATTCCGTTTCTTATGCCTGTATTTCATAGGGTGCAAATACAGGCACAAACATAAACAGATTTTAGATATCATTTTATTGATCATTTGGATTAACTGTGTCTTTTTTTAAAATTTTCTTTATGTATAAAGAATTTTAGGGGGCATGTAAAATGTTACTTTTAATGTCAGAATGGGCCGTGAATCTCTTCCATGTTGAATATTTATTGGAATCTAATATAATTTCCTTCACAATCAAAACACCCACAGATGGCTTTTATGGGGTAATGTTCAAGTGGAGCAGACCAGAATGTCACAAACTCTTGTGAAAATATTTTTTTTCTTCCCTTTTCAGCAGCCTTTGGAGAAAAGATACGTGAAAACGCTGCTACAGTGAGCGCATCGCGTTTATCCAGCCTGCTGCTGGGGTAAGGAGACGACACAAGCTTCAGGCTTGATGATCATGATGCATTAAAGAAGTGTACTTGAGGATAATATGTTTGCACTCCACTTCATCCTGTCGGAGAAATGGCAACAGAGAGCCTGCCAGTAGCATAAACAAACTAAATGTTAATGCCTCCCACCAACGTGTGCAAATCATGGCAAGCTGTCCTGTCCTTCTTGACGTTTTAGTGAAGAAAGATAACAGAAAAATGAAAAATAAAATCCCCCCAAAAAATGATTCGAAATCAACGGATTCCAGCATTATGTCATGCTAGTGCTTAGTTGTCATTTTATTGCAATTTTATTTAGCAAAAATGGTGAAAAACATCAGTTCTAAGGAATGCCAACTCCCACCTGTAGGTGGCAGTCATTTTTAAAAGAAAAATACTGCCATTTACTCCACTGATGCTTCATCCTGAGTTGGTGTCAAGTTGTAGTCTGTGATTGATCTGGAAGAGAACAAGACAAGTCATATTTAACGTCTCAGATAAGTGCAAATATTGCAAAATTTTTAACTAATATTTCTAAATCACAAAACCTTATTTTTTTTTCTTTTTTCTGTTTTGGATCAAGCCGTTCACTCCACTTTTGTCCCTCCTCCTGACTTTCATTTGCTTGGCTTTCCTCCTTTTCACCAGTGGTAAGATAGTCGCTCCTCCTGCCTATTCCGCATAAACTAAATTGCCATTTAAAAGCAAATTATGTCAGAATACATATATATATGTATGAAGTTGAGCCTTGAAAATATTAGAATGCTTAAACATTCCTTTGACACAAGACCCAATATTCTGACATACAGGGGGTGCCGTCTAATCAGACTTCTAGTCACATCTTATTTAGCTTGGCGACATTCCCAAACACATCAAGGTTTAATTTGTTCGCTACGCATTTACTGGGAGAAATCACATGCAGCAGCACGTATTTACCCCGTCTCTTCGCATGAGCGTCTCCGTCAGTCGAGCCTGACTTGCACGCGCATAAAATGCATTTTTGCAAAGCGATGAGTCGTCGTACCGGCTTGTTGCATTTCCCTTTTTTTCTTTTTTTTATTTGCAGTGTAACAGTAGAAAGGAGACGAGCAAAGTGCCACCCACAGCACTACGGGATCAGATGAAGTGTTGGCTGGAGAAAGAACACCTTCTGCCAGGAGCTGTGTGAACACGGACCGCGGGGATTTCATGCTTTGTGTGTAAAACAGACGGCAGGCATAAGGTTAACCCAGAAATCCTCACATCCCATGTGAACACCTGCTGACTTAAAGCTGGCATTCAGGCCATCCTAACCCTAAAACGGCATCTCTGTATTCATAACGCATGCGGTATGGAAGGTTGCGTGTGCACATTTGTGTTCAGTTTCATCATTCGGAGATGGAAAAATACATTTTCTCCTATTTGTATGGAGCCGGGCACCCAGTCTGCTCCACTGAACACTTTACATAAGAACAATAAAATACAGCGTCGTTCTCGAAACGGCAAAGTTCATCGCTCAATCTTTAACCGCAGCTCAAACGTTTGAAAATATTTGACAGTTTATTCAAATTTGGATGTTGTTCCTGTGAGATTTCCTCCATAAATAAACCCTTTTTTCAAGCAAAGTAGCAGCTCAGTTTCTTCTGTTTTCCTTGTCTCCACTCTTTAAATGCTCCACATAACTTTGATATCAGATTAAGATACACTGAGAAGATACGAAACACACTTTTCACAGGTTTTATTCACTGGCCAGAAAAAGAACCATATAAACCTTATCGGTAATAAAAATATAAATCCAACCGTGCAAAATAAAAAAAATATATAAATTGCTTGTGTTTTGCAATATTCTCAATGAGATGCTGAATTTGGAGGTTTTTAACTTGAACATTGCACCATTACTGTACACTTTGGCATGATTCCATGCGCACCATAAGGAATGAAGCAGCTTTTCATTCAAAGTATTTTATTGACGGTGCTGTTGCTCAAAGAAAACCGAAATCGAGTTAAAATGCATGTTTTTGAACGTTTAAAATACTCCAAAAGCCCTTCACTGCACAAAAAGTTTAGCCACATTTTTGCAATACGAAATCAGCTACAAATTGAATTTCAGCATGTATTTTTAGAGCAATCTTTCGTGTTCGTTCTGTAGTGTTTCATGTACAGCGACATACTAACAGATCCATTCACTCTACTTTTCCAGAATATTTTATCTCCTGTTTAACAATGAAAGATATTGCTTTAGGGCATGAAGTTATCTAAATGTTTGTTCATGGATTATTGGTGGCATATTGGGTTTTTTTTTTATCTGAAGTAATCCTGTGATTGCATAATCAAAATACATGCACAGAATTGACTGTTTCTTCAATTATACCTAAATTATACATAACGCTTCTGAATACTAGTCAGACTTGGTGTCACTCAAAAGCTACAAACCCAAAATTAAAAATAACCTTTAGGATATATATCTCATACTGTATCTATTTTAATAAATCATAAGTAGAATATATGTAAAAGCCTAAATGCATTTTTATTCCACAATCTAGCTTAGAGTTAATATTATTTCATAGATGTGTTCCATAAAAGTAAAGTCTCGTTTCATTACTCATGTGAAAGTAACACACGAGTGTCGAGTGGCGCTTTAAGTTTGTTGAATAAATGTAATTTAAGGCTTGGGGCGTCTCGCTTTGAATCCGTTTTCACTCTTTAGAGAAAAGAAAAAAGTCGTTAGGAAAAACATAATATTCTAAATGTGTCATTTCTGATACAGACTAAGGAAATCTTCTCCAACTTGGTGTTAGAGTTCATTAATTTTTGCCTCTGTGTGCCGTTCACCAGTTCCAGGACCCAACCAGAAGCCCTCAGTGTAAATTACCTTGGGAAATAGTGAGATTTGATTATATATGAAAACAGGCTTTAATGCCGAAAAATGACCAAATGTTACAAGCCAAACGTGTCATACAAGTGGAACAGATACAGAGTGATATCCACACTCAGCTCACCTTAGGGCTGAGACCAAGTGAGGCAAAGATTGTAGTGCAAGTTTAGCTTTTTATTCTTCTCTGCAATCTGCACCCTCCCAAAAGGGAGGTCTAATCAGTTTCAGTCTGTTTATGTGACCGGCGGCAGTCACACATAAACATGGTTATGCAAGATGCAGCGTGTGCGTGTGAGCAGATATAAGAAACAGAATCCATAGCATTTGGCTCTACTGGATTATACTTTTGTCGTATCAGTTTGTCTGCTACTGGAGAGAGATGCAAACAAAAAAGCTGCCTTGCTGGTGCAATACATGCTGACCGTCAGCTTAATCAAGCATTTAGGAAGATGAAGGCAAGTAAAGAACCGGGATTTGATTAAAATGAGTGACTTTTTTTCTTCTTCACCTGGAGTTACATAATGTCTTATAATTGCAACGTAATAAGACTTTGAAGATAAATGTTAGCTTTTTCCCATGAACTACATTAAAAACGATCATTCATACTGACCTATTGAGTTGTTTTGATGCTACAAGACAGCAACTGAAAAGATTAACTGACGTTTTCTTGTCCTGCACAAATGATGCAAAAAACCCAGGGCTCTGGGTGGATCCATTGCTAAAACATGCAGAGATGTTCTGGCCTTCGATGCGGTTTGATTCCCAGTCTGAGGTGATTCTTTTGTATCTGAAGGCCTTGAGTGCCAAGTTTTCTTTTCTAAAGATTCCAAACCCAGATGGAGAGCAAACTTAATCAATTACAACACAGTTGTAAAAGAGAGTTATTAGGCTTCCCAGAAACGGGAAGGGCAAGCACATTTGACTAAAAATAATAAAACATCAGTAAAAATACTTCATAGCAACTGTCAGGGGAATAATGATTTGGGGTTGGTATTCAGCCAGGGGACTTTGGCACTTGGCTGCAGTTGACAATGAAATTAAATAACAGATTAACTCTATTATAAATCACGGGGATTTATAGAGCAAGTCCTCAGTAATGGCTACTAAACTCTTTCTAAAAATTGTGTCGCTTCTTTTCTCTTTCTCCACCACCTAAACTTTCAGCTCACCTGTCCGGGAATCAGGGAAGCAGAACAACGTCTCTCAATCTCTTCGTCATTTATCATCTTGTCTGACAAGTGACGAGCTCAGCAGTTCTCTCCAACTTGGCAGAACCAACATGGCATCCGTCTTTATCTATGGGCCCTCGGCGGAGTGAAGCCCTGGAGGAGAGACACTTTAAACGGAGTGACCAGACTGCTCTGTGTAGCAAAGCGGCAGCTGAAACACAAACCTGGAGGCAGGCTCCAGCCAGTCCTTATCTCCAACACCCCTGAGACTGAGCATTTCCATGCCGCAGCAGCAGAACTTCATTAAACTTTCATCGGATCTTGGAGCGAGCTCCTCAGAAGCTTTAAGCTGCCTACACACAGCATGTACCAGCTGCACACTTTTCTCTCCACTTCTCCTGACTCTTTCTTTCCTGCTTACGTCCAGCTGCATTTAGGGAGCTAAATGTGAAATTTATCTATAAGCAGAGATCAGTTCATTTGTAGCTGCGTCTTCTGTGTTTGACTTGCTGATAATTGTCTGGGGAGTCCCACAGGCAAGGGAGGAAACGCACACCTGTCTTCACACCGCAAACTGTTGGAGTAGGCGAGCTTGAATAATCTATACGGGAACGAACAAAACATTAATTTCCTGCTCGACCCATCAGTTCAGGCGAACAGCCATGTGTCGGTCGTTCTGCAGTAGCGATGGTTTCGCTCCATTTTTTGATATTAGTTGAAATGTCACGTGTTCCTAAGTCTGCTTGGTCATGATACCGATTGTTCACCGACGTTGGTGGTTTGTGCATAAATGGTGTCCTGCACATATATATATAAAAAAATTAAGAGACCACTTAACGACCAATTTCTATGATTTTGGTGTCTATATGGATATGTTTGCATAAAATGAACATTGTTTTTTTTTTTATTCTGTGAATTACTGACATGTCCAAGCAAAAATTTTGTATTTCTTTGCAGAAGATGAGAAATGTTTAACGATACATATATATATATATTTATATATCTATATATATATATATATATATATATATATATATATATATATATATATATATATATATATATATTTATTTATTCTTTTCTTCCACCTACTGCTTTGTGTTGGTCTTTCACAGGAAATCCGATGACACATAACGCAATGTCATAATGTGGAAAACCTTTTAGAAATACCTTTACAAAGCATTTTACAAACCACTCTTAGTCCTGCACAGAAACATGCACGAAGCTTCCCCTTTGTTTACCATGTCAACAGCTAGTATTTAGTTGTTGTTGTTTTTTTTGCTGAAAGCTTGTCATAACAGGGCAGATAACACGTGAAAGATGGCTGCGAAGAGACGAAGACACAGAGGGTCCGTTAATGGGAGGGTGTGATGTGTGGTGGGTCGCTCGGGTTGGATGTTCGGCTTGTGGAGCAGCGACAGCCTGAAGACACCGGCGTCATCTCCCTCTCGTGAGTGACGGCTGTGGGAAGAATGGAGAGAGAACGAAGGCTGGAGACGGGAGGTGGTGTGGCACATGGCCTGTTAACATTGCAATGAGCCCCTCGTTGACCTGCTAACGAAATTTAGCTGTTGCTGACACGGGAGACAATGCTTAGTCACGGCGCTCATTTCTATTCACACTGCTGTAACTTATGCTCCGGAGGTCCCGGGCTGCTGGGAGGAACACGTTTCGCTGCTGTTGAAAACGAGCTGACACGAATCCCGTTGCATAACGTGGCTCGATGCGCCTGTGGCTGCGGCCTATGGCGGAGAAAAACTGATGCTGATGTTGGGGAGACGAAAGACAACTACAGCTAGTGGATGACGGGCGGAGAGAGAAAGTATATGCAGAACGGCAGACTATGAAGCAAAGTCGCAGAAAAAAAGTGTAGCCTTGAATCTTCCCGGCCTTGTCAAATCATGTAACTACATCTGGCAGGAAAAATTCATAAAAAAGCATCAATCAGTTTAAAATTTCTGGTTCTTTCACCTCGCGAGTAAACACGCCTGAAATTTGAACTTTGATACTTTAGACACAGTCCTTTCTGGCTGACTGATCAGTGCAGCGTCGTGACATGAACACACGATTTATCGAGTGGTAAGGAGTTGGTTCAATAAGCACAGCAAGAGTTCAAATGATCAACTATCCGGTGATGCAGGATTTTACCAAGGTGTTTCCCCAGCTCCTCCATTCTATGAATAACAAATACATGAAGAGTTTTTCATCGTCGGCTGAATGTCTCAGCCAAAATTCATGGTTTCACTCTCCATTTAAAGAGTGTGCAAGTTCTTGACAAATGGAAGTTTATGAACCAGCACAATGTTGAAATTTGTATCAAACACAAGCATGAGACAAGCAGGATCATAAAAAGTTCTGAAAAAAAATCTTCCCAACTTTAAAGATGTCAAGGATTCAAAGATTGTCATATGAAAGCAAAACCAACAACAATCTTTTTTTTTGTCAGAGACCAAAACATTGTGCAAAACATAACAGATT